TTTAAATACTGTTCTTTTGAGGTTAAACAAATGTTCATAATTAATTTAAATAAATTACAAGTGAAAAGGAGCATGGAAATTTGACTTTTTTGTATCGAAAAAATATGGAACCGTGAGACTAAAGTATCGAACCGAACTGAATCGTGAATTTTCTGTATCATTGCACCCTGTTGCCGTCTTGCTTATTTTATTGCTGTCTTCCACTGCAGTGTCTCCTATGTCTTTGTAAGCAGCACTGCTTGCTAACACCTTTTGTTACTGTTGTTCTTGGTATTGCTAATAAGGGCCTATTTTACTGAAATTTGCTCTTCCGATAACTTTAATCTTTTCCAAATGTGCACCCATGCAAGATATACATCTAAACATGCGGCATGGACATGTGTGCTAGTTCTTTTTTGTTTCAAAATACCATGGCAACAAAATTAGCCCAAAAAAAGACCATCAAAACACCTTTAATAAATAGTGAATGCTTCAACTGTAAACTTTTTGAAATATCTCATGAATGGCTATATCAGTGGTTCCCAACATGTCTGGGGTGCCAGAAAGCACAGGGGGTTCCATTACCTTGTCTGCTCAGAGGAKATTTGAATAATTAAAACTCTGTATAATGCAGTTCTTTTTTCTTTCCAAATTAAAAGTTTGTTATTATTCTTTTGTTATTTTGATAAAGAGAAAAAGGTTGGTTTTGGGCGAGGTGGGGAGCAGCGAAGCACTGGGTTGCCCAAAATGTTTACTACACTGAGGGGGCTGCTTTGAAGAAAATACTAAATGGAWATTATTAAAACTTTCACAAAGTAATCACTGGAGGTTCCTCTGTATCCAGTTAGTAATTTGGGTCAAACTGATTTCAAGACAGCTAACTTAAAAAACACATAAAAAGTGAAAACACAGACAATTTAGGGGGCAGGTTTCAAGTAAAAGGTACCGTTTATTATGCATGAAACCACTGACTGTCACAGTAGCAAGATTTATTTCAGACACAACTTGTTTAGGAGTTCAAGTATCTGAGAGTTTTATTAATGTATATGTGTTTTTCATATATAGAGACATTTTCATGTTATGTTATTTGAAGAGGTGAGTGAATGATTGGAATACAGCAGTTAGCTGCATTTTATTTTTATTTCTTTTGTCTCAAGGTTTAAAGTTATTGAAAAAACATTTGGGACGACAGGATTGATGCCCAAATGTGATCATGCAGAATAACATAAAATAATAATAATAATAATAATAATAATAATAATAATTTTTCTGCATTATTAATGCATTTAAATTAAGTTCCATTACTGAGTGGAAGTTTTGTTGCTGGAAATAGTTTTATTAATCTTCTGTACTTACATGTAAAACATCCTGATTAAAGAAAAAAAAACTTTGCTTGAAGTGGAAGTTAAAGAGTAGAAAGAATAAATTTTACCACTCCGAGTGATGATCGGCCCAGCAGTCAGAACAGCATTTCCAGACGATGTGCCTGAGTCCTTTCCTTCTGAGATCTCCCTCTTTTTTCTGCTGCCACAGATCTACGAAAAACAGCAGGGACAATGGGCCTCATGCAAGAACATGTTCGTATTCTTATCCTAAATTTCTCTTACTTTTGTTCGTACAAAGGGTTCGTACGAACATGTCACGTCAGATTCAACAAACTCTTCTATCTTCAGGAAAAGTGTGTAAATGAGCTGCGTAAATTCCACCTGTTCGTATCCAGCTGCTCGTGCACGCGAGAGGAGATTAGCATAATTACCACCCCAAAAACACCATATAAGGCTATGTTTCCTGCCTCAGATACAAGGAAGTGTTCATTCATTCATGAGAAATGACAGCGAAAACTAAAAAGAAGAACTTTACGAGTTCAGAGATTGAAGTCCGTCTGTCAGAGATCCAGAAAAGAAAATCTGTCATTTTTAGCAGGTCAGCTGTGGAATAAAAAGAGCTGCTAAAAGTATAAACAACTGTGTTAAATCATTTTCATTTATTCAGAAGCCGCTGTGCTGCACACCGCATGCCCTACCCCCAGCGCGGTCTCAAGTGGTCTCAGTTGCGGTTGTGAAATAAGCATTTTAAAATGTTTTCAAAATATGTCTGGCACTTTGGAGAAAACCCAGGACTTGCTGGAGGGATTATGTATCCCCTCTGGTCTGGGAACGTCTCGGAGTCCCCCAGGACGAGCTGGAAAGTGTCGCTGGGGAGAGCGGGGTCTCCTGCTGCCCCTGTACCAGATAGCGGATAAGCCGGCTGGACGGACAATTTATATTGTTAGTCTAAATTATTACATTTAAAATTATAACTCTAATTCAAGCAGAATAGCCTATTGTCAACATAATTATAGAGTGTAATTTATTTTCAACTCAAAATATCTTCAAACTAATTAAATATAAAGTTATTAGGGAGGAAAACCTGTCTGGATAACAGCAGACTGACTACTCGTAAAATATACGACAGGTCTGGACCACTCGTGAATTTTGTTCGTATCTGAAAAAAATCTTAGAATACGAAAACATTGGTGAATGCCACAAATTCTCCTAAATCACTCGTACGCACAACTMAAGAACAAATCTGTGCGTACGAACGGTTCTTGCATGAGGCCCATTGTGTTGGTGTTGTGAACACCTTCACACACAGTCTGTTTTCTTGTTCTAAGGTATTTGAGACCCAAATTGTAATTGTAATAGTTTAGCCATATTAAAGCAGAGGGTTTGTGTTCGTCTCACCGGCAGGAGCATGGGACAGTCATCTGCTCGACACAGCTTGGTAACACAGTGCAGAAAGACGGTGGACATCTTCTGGTTCTTGTGCTTCACAAATCGGAACACCTCAAAGGCAAAACGACCCATTTGGCTCTTCCCGTTCTCAAAGACAGTCGTCTGGGGGTCTTTTTCACAACTTAGAAATGAAAAATGTCAACATTTTMAATAAAGACATACATATCAAGAGAAAATCCAGAAGTGAACTGAATCATGAATCTGCTTCTCAGGTGGACTTGCCTAAAGAAGAGATCATAGCGAAGATCATCATTAGGYTTTCCAGAAGGCGTGGTGTAACAGTAGTCCATCAAAACGTTCCATCTGTTTGACGTTAAAAAGGTTTTAGAAGAGTGAAGAGAGAAGTGATCTTTGTGTTGCTGATTAGTGCACACGTTCACAAATTTACAGCCTAGAGAAAGCCTCATAAACATAAAGTTTTAAAACAGCAAAAAACAAAACAAAAAGCATGTTTTTATGCCCTTTATTAACAGTTTAATTGCAACAATGTGACTCTCATCTCTGGAACAGTTTAAAATGTTGAAAGAGGATGATTTATATAAGGCAGCAGTGCAGCAGATTGCTCCTCTTCCTCAGRTTCTTTTTTCTTTTTTTTTCTTTTGTTTCATTTGAGATACAAAGACTACCAGCTGACAGAACTGGTCTCTGACAAACAGAGATTTTTTTGCTCTGGCACTATTTTCAGCTAAATGGAGCATAAACTTCATTTAAATGTGTAGATATTGCACAGAGAGCAGTTTTAGGCTTTGGGGGAAAATGAACAGATGAACAAAATCCTAATTTAAACTTTGTAAAAGATGTGCAATCTGTGGCTGAAGCTAGCCTGAGACTTTTATAGAAAACCAGAATCATAATTCTGTGTTTTCTGGTGAACATTTTCTGATTTATATGCTGTTTAGTAGTTTTAGACACCAAAGTCAGGACTATGAATTCTAACAGGGTATGTTGGAGTTTAATGCTGCCCTCACCTCTGTTGACYCTGAGTTTTATTATTTCTTTTCAAACATTTATCTGGACCAACAAATAAACCTTTAAGGCCGCTTAATATTTTTCCCTCCTCTATTTAAACTGTTGACATTAAATGTGCTCCCTATYTTTTGTCCTTTCACTTTCTTTTTAAGGGTCCATCTTTTCCACTTTGCTGCATTTCAAAAACAGCACTTAAAGAATATTCTGGATTACCCCTTTTTTTCGAACACTTGAGTCATTTTAAAACAGAAGTTGACATTTCTATTGTAGGTTTTATTTTTGATGATATGAATAAAATCCATTCTTTCAGTTTGTACAAATTTAATGAATCATAAATTGTGTTTTAACAACTTTGTAGGATAAATTAGACCAGGTTAGACAAACGTATTCATTTCAGATTTTGAATTGGAGTCGACCTAATGTGCTGTATGAACCTGAGTGAAATAACCTTTTCCTAAATTCTAAATGTGAAACTGGAAAACTGCAGGTGGTGCAGCCAGTTTTCCTGCATCAGGTGTTTCCTCTGAGACAGATTCTTTTATTGTTTTGAGTTATTTACACAGCCACAGTCTCTGAACACAAACAGGATTCATATAGTTTTTATTGATGCTTCCAATCTGAAAATATGAGTCAGTAATTACTGTTTTATAATAAATATGAAAGGAAGTTTAGATGTCTTCAAATTTATTTTTGACCATTGACAAAACATGCAAATGTTCTCCATTCATTTTTGGTCTTGATATAAATGAGGGCTGATGTGACAGAGTTGATGTAGCTGTAAATCAGACACACTGTGAGTGTTTCCAGCACCTCCCTTTGATTCATTGGATTATAAAAGATTACCTCCTGTCCAGGTTGGAGGCTCTAACAGCTGCAAACACACGTGTCTTCAGAGTCAGTCCTGCCATGGGGATGGACAGGTGCTGGACGTACGATGAGTCCTACAGATAAATCACAAGAAAATGTTAAGAGCTTCATGTTGTTGGGAGGTTTTAATGTCGTGACTGAAAAGACTGAAGGATAAACAGCTCATCTCTAATTTAAGTGTCGTTGTGTGAAAATTCTGTAATCTCTGTAAGTCACAGCATTTACAGCATATTTACTGATGAACTGTAACTGTTGAATTATAATTTTAGATTTGTGAAATGTTAAAGTAAGTTGTTTGAACTGTCTGTTCACTCTGCATAGAATCAAGTTTTTATTGTTGTGTTTTCATTGTTTGCTTCAGATATTAAGAGTAGAGCAGAGGTCTGTAAACTACGGCTCTGGGGCACAGATATGACAGTTTGTTCCCTCAGAAGTGACTCAGAATAAGTTAGATTTAGAGGCAGAAATGACTCTGTTGAGTATAAAGTTTGCAGATCTTTGGTGTACACTGAAAAAAATAACTTGTAAGATTTACTTGAAAAAATCCTCAACAATTTGCACTAATGTTTGTTAAGTAAATTTAAATGCTACAAATTCATGTAATATTTACTCATCATTATCTAGTAAGTTATAAAGAAAATAGTTAAATTTTGTGAATAAATCA